TCTGGCCATAAGAAACGTATGATAGAAAAAATATTTAGATAACAAACTAACGGTTTTACCTTATGTACTTTAAGATTGAAATAAATATGAGCAAATTCTAATGTATTTAGATTTGGATATATTGGTTTATATTGATCTTTCGTTATTTTTTACGCTTTAATAGATCATCAAGTAAAGTTAACACAGAATGTAAATCATCTGCTAATGGATAAATGCCATTGGTGATTTCTTGATATGCGTTTGTTTTTGTCATATAACTTTTAATTTTTTCTTCATATTCATGTGGATCAATAAAGAAAAATAATTTGCTTTTATCAGTTTGTCAGACAGCAATATTAGCTTTGCATAATTGTCGTCGCATTGATTTTATCATCTTGTACATATATCGAGCATGCCTTTCAAGTGTTTTTGGTATTGGTTTCGTATATAGCTGTTGAAGTAAATTTTTTATTACAGCAAAATATTCAATAGCACGTGTATCACGCGTTGAAAACATGTAATCGGTAAGATTTTTAACATTTTCATTATAGAGGCGATTGTATGCTCGTTCAGTAATTTTTTCCATAGGTTGTCGATAAAAGAAATGCCTTTGACAGGGTGGAATAAATTTCAAACCTTTATTAATGACCCATGTAAATATTTTTTGAATCAAAACGCGTTCGAATCGATATGTCAAATTTAAAAAATGTATTACAATCCGTCTTAGGTTTGATCTGCTTTGCCATCAATATTGCCTAGCGATGATCTTTACCTAACTACAGGCCAACGGAAAGTTTAAATTTTAATGTTTCTAAAATGATAGAAATGCGGTTAGAACAAGTAAACTAGCGATTAGAAAGCAAGTGTATATACCATTGAGCCACATGGGATCACATTAGTTGTAGAACGAAACAGAATCCATATATGCATCGTCTATTATAAACTTATTCATAGATACATGCGTCAATGAGGTGCTGTGTATAAAAATATACCTATTTATCCAAAAAAAGAGTTTGCATTAGATAAGTCCAACTACATAATTTTAAAAATATCTGATTATGGAAACTATTCGTTTTGGAAAAAAAATTCGGTTATATTATTTCTTAAATTTCATTATTTTCAATTTTAGAGTACCAATGTTTTAGGATTAAAATATATATATATTCTGTCTTTCTTGAGAAAAAGAACTCTAAACTTTTTGAGAACTCTATATACTTCAAACTAAATTAATTTTATAAAAAAAACTGTGATATATATTTTCTAATGAATAGAAAACGAATCTTTTATATATTTTTTTCTATAAACGAGTTTCACAATCGCGTTTTGTTTATATATTGGTCGAAGCAATGGAATGCGTCGGGGTGCGGTTGCAAGTAAAACCGCGTCTAGCCGCAAGAAATGTTTCACTAGAGACGCGATTCCAAATCAAAACACGTTAAGATGCGCTTGAAGTCTTAGTCCAGTCGTGTTTAGATGCGGTCTGTGCAAAATCGCGTGCAGACGCGGTTTTTATTATCTTTTTACTGCGTTCAGACGAGTTTCACAAGAAAAACGCGTTTAAACGCACAATTTCTGCGTTTAGTGTTTACATGGGAATAAGCAATTGTTCATTCGATAATGTTATAATAGTATTGGCAAAATATAAACAAAGAAACATATCCGTATGGTTTCGAATAATTAATTTTGATTTGCTCCGACGCCATCGTTGTTCGTTGTATAGTCCTGTGATGCCGGAGCTTCGTTGAAAAAAGATTTCAATTTTTGTTATGTAATATAATCAGATCGTTCGATCATATGTTTTTCACGTGCTTCAATAGCTACCATTACTTGTTTGAATATATCTGAATCTGAATTGTTTATCTTTAATTATCGGTAATAGCTACCAATTTGTTTTTTCCATTTTTCGCTATTTTATTTCAATAGCGTACTATTTCTTCACCAGCTGCTATACTTAATTCAAGCATACCATATTTAAATCGGTCAATTTTTTTTAAACGACAAGCATATAATATTGTTTTTTGCTTATCATCATTGTTAGTAGAAGATTCTTTCGATCGGCTAAGTATTTTATCAATTTTATTAAGTAAATAATCAAGAAGATTGAATGCTGGTGGTAAACAATTCGAATGGATGCGATGTTTTAATATCTCCATTTGTTCTTTCATTTGTTGGGGTGTGGGTGTGGGTGTGGGTGTGGGTGTGGGTATGGGTGTGGGTATGGGTGTGGGTATGGGTATGGGTGTGGGTGTGGGTGTGGGTGTGGGTGGGGTGTGGGTGGGGTGTGGGTGGGGTGTGGGTGGGTGGTGTGGGCTGTATGGATGTGGGTATGCTGTATAAAGGTATATAATACCGCTCCCACACCCACACCCACACCCACACCCCTCAGCCACATCCATACCGACATCCACCCACACCCACACCCACAACCATACCCACAGCCACAGCCACAGCCACAGCCACAGCCACAGCCACACCCCACATCCACACCCACACCCACACCCACACCCACACCCACCCACACCCACACACCCACACCCACACCCACACCCACACCCACACCCTCAGGTAAGTAGGGTAGAGCAGGTAGGTAGGTACCTAGGTAGGATAGGTAAGTAGATAGGACAAATAGGGTAGGTAGGTTGGGAGAGTAGATGAATAGGATAGGTAAGTAGGTACGATAGGTAGCACAGGTAGGGTAGGTAGATAAGATAGGTAAGTAGGCAGGATAGATAGGACAGGTATGGTAGGTAGGTAAGATAGATAAGTAGGTAGATAGGTAGAGTAGAGTAGGCGGGGAAGATCCCTAGCTAAAGTAATTAGCTTCTATTAACGAGAAGAAAATCGACGATTTAACCGCCATAAATCGGAAAAAATCGTCAGTTTGGGCGATTTTATCGCGATTTAATCTCACGATTAATCGGGCCAACAAATCGCGATAAAATCGGCGATTTTGATGACATGGAAAATACTTTCTGTAAGAGAAAATGCACAAAACTATTCTATTCAGTCGGAATTCATTATGATATACTTGTCATATTTTATTGATTTACTCTCATATCGAGTTATGTTAATCATATAAAACTGAATAATTGTTCAGCACTGTAGTTCGTTATACATTTACTTCTATCTCTCTATCACCTCTTAATTATAGGATATGTTTTGCACAAGTATAGGAGATAACAATGCGATTATTAATCGCAAGAAGATTCAATATCCAACTATGTAATAACGTCTTTGTTTAAAGAAACGTTACCGAATATGGACAGCTGATATAGTGTTTGTAGTCGTATGAATATTCAGTTCACCAATAGATACTAACCTATTCGCGACGATGTGAACCACCAATGGCTCATGTCATAGTTTAACGAAGAAAATAATAAAAAAAAAACTAGTTATTGACTCTTTACTAATCATTAGTAATGCATGGCCTCTTATCCATTTCGTCTTCTCCACTGTCCAAATTATTTATTACATAGCATGATGTTCTCATTAAAACAATCAAGACAACAAATATGTCATATAAAAAACAGAAAATTTCTATTTTCTTCATTGTAACGTGCTTTGTTTCACTTGATTATTATTTCCCGCTTTTCTCATATTAGCCACCACAGCATCTTTGGACGATGCATGTGGATTCTTTCTTTTCTTCGAGCTTGTAATTAGTGAGTTTGCTCTTTCAATGGTCATTTCGTTTATCTCGTTCCTACTACGCAGCACATAAAAAAAATAAAAGCAAACTTGAATAACTATTCAATTTGACCACTGGATGACGGTTTTGAATTACTTTGTAATTCAAAAAAAATGAATTATAAAATAATTCAATTTCTATTAATATGTTCTAACTAATTGACCAGGTACTACCAGATACTAGAAGGTACTACCAGGTACTAGAAGGGACTACCAGATACTACGAGGTAGTGTGGGCGCCACAAAACGACTCACACCACATTTCTCTTAGTGTGGGTGCCACAAAACCTTGATGGATCCTTGAGACCCTGGAAACACTAGTACACTCCCATAATTGCTTGTAGTACCTGGTAGAACCTTCTAGTACTTGCTAGTGCCTGGTCAATTACATAGAACATATTAATGGAATTCGAATTATTTTATAATTCATTTTTTGAATTACTTTGTAATTCAAAACCGTCATGAACTCAATTTGACACTGAAAAATCATCTATGTAATAATATAACAAGAAAAAGACTTCGCAATACATATTGAAAAAGCCAACTAGTACTTGTATCAGAACATAAATGTAGATGAAAATGAATCTGTTAAAGCTATTTTCTACGGAAATCGTATTGACGCGAATCGATTAATATATGTACCAACCAATTTTTTTGTAAATCAAAATAATCGTGATTTTGTCTAAAATGTTTAGCTGTTGTTGAATGATAGTTCCTTTGATTGAAATTTACATTAGTCTAAGATAGTTATTGAGATGTGAAATGACCATTATTTTCTATAATTGATGTAATATATACATATTAGAACAACTTCCTCATCCCAAAGAAAATGTGAAACAATATCTTCTGAGTTAAAAAGAGACGATTTTATCTATCGCATTCTAAATTTATCTAAATAAAATCGTTAAACGATCTATAAATCAATCTGAGTGATTTTCAAAAATTTTTTTATATAATCGATACAATTTTTCATATCTCATTTATCATTATAAACAGTATATCATGCAATTAACCGCAGTCTTTGTATAGACTTTTTTCACTTAAAATTTTCAAATTTCTTGTTCGCTTTCCTTTATATAGATATACATATAACACTTCGATTTTTTTTTGTGCGCGATATTTTCGATAAGAAAACTGGCCATTCAATGTATTTATTAAATCCATCATATGTTTCAGTAATGATTTACACTTATTCACCGGTTTGGGTCACCCTGAAGTATATACATTTTGTGTATCTTTTTGGATCTAAAAATATTTCGAAAAGTTAAAAACAATATTTGCATTTTTGATGACATGAGCAGTATAGATCTTGCCACTACATGTAGACAGCCTTTTTTTTAAATGGCTTGAATTCAAGAGATATTTTCTTAATCTTTTTCGAAAAAACAATTTCCTATATGCCATCCATTTTTCAAAATGTATTTTTTATTGTTATAAGTGCTCTGTTTTATTCTCGATCATGCACTACAATTAATAATTAGTTATTGATATTTTCATATCTTGTTTCAATGTTTAAGTTCATGTACTTAACTTATATATCATCGTAACAACTTGTGTTCAAAATATCTTTCTAAACAATCGATAGAATACTGTTGTTCTTTATAGGAACAATAAACTTTGTTTCTGAAAGCTTTTTATTATTTATTGATATTATACATGAGAGATTAAATGAAATAGATGAAACTATTTTATATATATCCAACAGTCAAAGCCATATGATAAGTCCAGAAGCCTCTTTTTCGACAAAGATATACGGTCGTTTATTTAATGATAAAAGAAGAATACGTTTTCGTAATTGTTCAACGAATAAACAATGTTTTTTCGATGCTAAATCAATATCATACGGACCTTGTCGATAAAGACACCGAAAACAAAAAGAAAAATCAGATAAGGTTGATGCTATCCCTGCAATAATTTGACAACTTGCATCATCTGGAGAATTATGTATATCATATAAAAGTATACGTAATGACTTCAACAATGGTAAACTTGACAGTATACGTAAGGCAGTCCAATCAGCAGTTGCGAAATGAAGACATTCATAGTGAACAATGATTTGAATAGATCGAATATTTAATGGCAATGATTTACTATTCAATGAATCCAAACTATCGACAAGAATAAGATGAGAAACATTCGGCAAATTCATCGAAATTTGTCTATTACATCGATATAAATGAAGTTCACGTATTTTATTTGAAGATACTATTTGTGAAAGGAACGTAGTACATGATGGAAGATTATCCGACATATTCAATTTAATCAAACGAGAAGAATTAAATTTCATAACTGGGCAAGATGATGCAAATACTGTTAATTCACTAATGCATCTATCTGGAACAGATAATTGGAAAAATTCATTAAATATCCATGGTAAACTGTAAAATAGATGTTGTCGAGTTTTAGGTTTTCTCGACTAAAACAAAAACAAAGCATTCCAACGAATAGTCATAACATTGAAATAATCTTAAGAAAACTTACATAATTTAGGCTCGGAGTTGTAAATGGTTGATTATCAGGCCAACAATCAGAAATAAATGTTGCACTAGCTATTTGACGAGAATATGATTGACCACTGCATGGTACATAATTAACAAGTTCTTCATGTGGACGATCATCAATAACAATAAAAGCATAATGAACATCAATATGACGAGAGTCTGTAAAAAGTGCTGAATTACGCATTTGAATAAGATCATTAACATCAATAACAAGAGAAAAATTCACTCGTCGTAAAACAGGCATTATATTGGAAGAAGTCAGTAAATTGATAAATGTCCATTCTCCAATGGAATGCCAATTGAATGGTTTAACAAAACTAAGTGTATGTAAAGCTTTCATTTCAGGCAAACGATGTATAGCACCCAGATTGTCTTGAAGACAAGAGTTATCAGCTAATTTTATGTGTAATTGTTCTAATGTATGTTGTAAGGGTTCAGTCGACATGATATTTAATAAAATATCTGCTGTATCTAATGTAATAGCCAAATAAAGTAAAGGTATTTGTATTGTTTTAAAAGGCCAATGATGTAAGAAAAAAGAAGATTCCATTCCTAAATCAAGTGAACGAAGAGCACACGGATGATTCAGAATTTTATTGATGAATTCACATAAATTCCATGATGGATAACACAATTTTTTACCTATACCACACTTAACGAAATCCAAAATAAATATTAATATAATATATATGTATATTATTAATCGAAAGTTGAAAATTTCTCTTTTCTTATCGAACCTTGCACCTAAGAGTAATTCTTTAATCCAAAAAAGACATTTATATAGACGAAGATCTCTTACACAAAAACAAGTTTTTCAACAGATATTTTTCGTTTATTTAACATTAATCTTTCATAAAAAATAATATATATAAAAAAAAAAAGTATCTGATAATTATTTAGAATAGAAATCCAAAAATCGAATCTAACTGATCTATATCGTTTGAAAGGCAAGTCTGATGAATAAGTTCTGATCAAATATTTTTCGTAGATTTTTTTGCATAGAACACAATAATACGATCACGGAATATTTCAACCCATCGTTTTATACGTCAATAAATGCCTAACTACCAAGCAATAATAAATACGAAAATTTTATACTTATCCTAGTCGAACTACTTTCTCGTGTGCATAAACTTCTTGAGCAAAAAAGTCATGCGACATCAACCAATCTTTAGATCTGTACATTTGAAACACATGAAAAAAAACCGTTCCACAAGAGTCTACATATCTTTTCTATACGTTTTATTAGAATTACTGCTACAATAAGGTTATTTTCAACTATACTTACTGTTTCAAAATATTGACTTGATTCAACTGTCAAATAAATTAATGTAGTGGCATGTTGTCGTACGAAATTATAAACATCAACAAAATATCGTACACCCTTTACTTTTAATATTCTTAAATGTGGTAAATAAGGCCAACATTTTAGTTGAAGAGGTGATGAATAGCAATCAATGATAAGTGATTGAATTTCATTAAATCGAAGTAAAGATAAAAATGTTTTGAATCGATGATATCGCGTTGATGATAAATTAACATGACAATAAAAACCTCTTTCAATTAATAACTTTGTCAGGCGAATATTGAAATTATTGAAACACCATAGAGCATCTTCACAAGATAAATAAGAAAATATTTCTATCAACGATAGATCAGGCAAATCATTGAAGACAGTAACCATATTGTTATTGTATGAATGAACACGAGAAATAAGGACCCAACCAAAACAGACTGAATTAATTCAAAGCGAATTAACCAATACAATTTGCGTTGCTATGCAAAAAGGCCAATCGTGTTTCTTAATTCACTTTGAATTAGTCGGTCTGTTCGGGGCCTAAGACATTACTTTTTTCTTTTATATAGCCATTCATAAATATATTACATTGGGCCAAAACAGACTAGACGAGTTCAAACAGAATTAACCACTAATTCATCTCAAATAGACGATTGAAATTTTAATATACCAATCGCGTTGCTTAGTTCAATTTTATTTTTGTTAATGTGTTTGAGGACATTATCGGTGTTCATTTTTTGTCATTCTCTTTATTATGTTGGATAGCCAATGGAAACAATTGTTCACTATACACTAGCACTCAACATTGACCATACACCTGACAAATGACCCTGTTTCTTTAATATTTGAAGATGAGTTCAGGATATAGAATAGCGGCTTCTGTCAAAATGCTGCTCGCTTTTCATAGTTTATTTAGTGAAAGTTTTTTTTATCTTTATGAGTCGTATATTTGTTATATTAGACTAAAAATAGTAAAAATGAAGTTCTTTAACTTCGCTCAAGATTGATCATACATCTCCCATAAAAGTAAATAGATATCGAGCAATTAAAAGGAAGTGACATTTTTTCCATGGGCTATACTCCCCGTTAGATTTTTGTTCTTTCAATTATTTTTTTTATTGGGACTGATGTAAGGATACAAGATCACATAATCATTCCTTGGACATTTTTAGTATTAGCAAAAAATACGATATTTTAGGAATGAGTCAATTTCCATAGGAATTATCAAAAAAACGGTTATCGAGCTCATATTTTTCTCATGAACAGCATTCATAATGCAGACAAAAGTCCTTAAGAAACGAGCACAACTAGATCCTTGTTTTCGAGGTGTGCTAATTTTACTGTCGGATATTAGGAAAAAGCAATAGAATGAAATTCCAGTCTAAGTTTTTTAACTGCAACACATCTGAAGGTTTTTATGATACCTTGAAAGAATCAAATAAAGCAATGTATTTGTCTTTCGAGATAATATGCTTACAAAAAACATTACTCTCATGTTAAAATTCCTAAAATAGTCTGTATTTCAAGCACCAAATGTGTTAAAAAGAAATCATCTACTTGAACTGGAAATTTCAGAGAAGATTTATTGCTGTGGAAGATTTTTTATTACTTTTTTGTCTCGTAACAAAATTCAATAGACTGAAAATCTTGAAATTAAGACTAATTTTTCAATTTTTTTTTGAAAGCGTTTTTTATTTATACTATGCGTTCTGTTTATGAGCGAATTCTAAGTCGATATCTATATTCTACTCTTCTGAGCTTGAAAAGCTTATTAATCTTTATATATTTCGCTTACAATATTAAAGGAGAATCATTTGTTTGATCGATTATTAAATAACTTTACATCAAATTTGAACTAATAAAATGAGTGTGGTTTTACTTATATTTTGAATGATTCTAGCGATTGAACTTTTAAGAATTTGTCCATCGATAGCAAAGAGCAAGTAGATCATCAATTTTCGTAGTTATAAACTGTAAAAATCAAATCAACTTATAAGATTAAGGTAGTATAATCAATACAAACAAACAATGCCTATCTAGTATACTTTCAGTAATGATTTGAAACAGTAAAAATATTATCCGAAAGAAGTCTTAACATAAAGATTAAGATTACAGCTCATGCTACTTTATACAGCCTGCGCTAAAAATTAGCATTATGATAGAAAGAAAAAATGATTTGGATTGGAAGAAGTTTATTTAAAGTTCTTTTCCATACGGATAACGTAAGTAAATATTATTTTAAAGTTAGACTATTGGTCTTACATAAGAAATTTTATGAATTGACAAATAAGGAAAATAAATTTTTACCGTTCCATAAATAATCCTCAATTGTCATTTAAGACAATGATAAAAGAAAGTCAAAAGGAAACTTTATAAATGCACAAAGCAAGTATTAAGAATTGATCAGTTTCAAAGCTCAAATTCTTGATCAACAATTAAAACTGACAATTACATACTTTTAAACATCAAATCACAAATTTCCTTGCAAAAACAGCTGTTCTATGTTTGAAAATTTGCTCTTCTATGAGGTGCGCTATACGTATGTTTCTCTCAGTTAATAGCAAATCAGATTGCTATCATGATACCAGCAATATTTTGTACGTTATCCGGATGAAAAGAAAATTGTAAATAAACTTATACTACTAACCAAAAAGTTAAGACTGTTTGGCGAAACTCTTACGAAAATATTTCATTATGACATTTTAGTGAATCATAAATCTGTTTCATTCACTTTACATTTAATGTTTAGACATTTAGATAGAGAAGTAATCGGATCTTATTAATCAAACGGCATGAATAAAAGAAAAGACTTCAATATATTTTAAGTGATTTGATGTTTCTTGTCATCTTATATAAACATCAAAATTATCAATGAATTATCTATTCTAATCATATACATTAATATTATTTCTTACTTTGAATTGCTTATATAAAACAATGGCAAGAAAATACAAAGTTATTACGAACAATTCAATATACAACATTGAAAGAAAATGAAAACTATAAGATATTTTGGAAAATGTTTATTACAAACAAATAATATGACACAACAATTAATAATATACATTTTCTTTTCTCTATCTTTTTAAAACTATTTAGCTTTACGAGCATTTGATCGAGCTTGATCATAAATCTTTTTAAAATCACTCGTAAATCGATCATAACATAAAACACCTTTTTCATCAAAATAACTGCCTACAGAACTAATTAATACTCCTGATGAACCCATTGATTTATTTGTACTTTCGTTATATTTCAAAGTTAAATAATACTTATCATCATATCTAAAATTTTTGAGAAAGCAAAATAGTTTTTACTATTATTTGATGCACTATCAATAAGCAAATATTCACTTTTTTAATTTAGAACTTATTATACATCGTGATCCGGAATTAAGACCAGTTTTATCAACTAAAATAAAAAAAAAACGATACATTTAAATTTAATTATGAAGAAAGGACAGTAGAACATTTACTCAGTTTGCCATTAAAAAATCTACCACGTTCAATAAAGTACATATATAAGGTAAGAATACTGATAAGAATGAAATATCTAGATGCATATAGAAAAATTTAATTTTTCATATGATAATCGTCTTTTTGCTTCTTACGAGAGTACACAAACAATCAGAACTGTGCGAGATTTCGGAATTGGATATAACCAATCATAAATAAGAGCATATATTGAAAATAAGCATGCAAATAATGAGATATACAGACGACGATCCATTAATGAGTTATCTTCTGAAAAAAATTAGAGTCTCTTTGAAATACTAAAACATTAGAATTATATACTTGAATGTTGATGATAATTCAAATTAACCATACCTTCTTACATGCATCATTTAATGCATTTTTTAGGGCATTTCTGTCCCATTTATTTACTTTCACTGGTTTGGCAAAAGCATCATTTGCTGTTGCCTACGATCAAAATATATTTATATAACTAGCCGCTTTTTATTCTTTCAAAACAGAATTCTTTGATGAACTTACAACATTACTCATTTTATTAAATCTGAAAATACGAGAAGAGCGGAAATGATTCATATATGTATTAAGTAAATGATTTCATAAGACAAAAAAAATAGTTCTACTACATCCAAATCTTGTCATTATATAGACAAACAAACAAAAATTACATCTTTTTTTCCACTTTTATACAATTACAGGACAACAAAAAAAATGGAGAACATGAAAAATATAATTATTATAATATTCATCTGACAAGTTTATAGATGCCAAGTTTTGAAAATAGACTCCTTTTAACTTTTATCACCTTCACTCTTTGGTGCCAAATAAAAGCGAACATGACCCATTTCAGCAATTTTGAATTCACACACTAATCGAAAACAAAAATGTATTAAATCAAAATATTTATATACAAATGAAAAAACAACTTACTCAATGGTGTATCTTTCGAAAGATTTACACTAACTTGAGGTGAAAGCTGTGCTGCCTTACAAAACATACTTAAATATTCTACATAAAATGTAAGTGCAACAGCTTCTTTCATTTTAATAATAACTGCTTCTTCTTCTTTTTCAACGTTTGCTGTTTGAACAAGACGAATACTACCTAGAACAAAAAATTTATTAAAATCTACAATAAATTATATAGAAGAAAAAGATCTACCTTGACCAAGGTCGCCCTTAGCTGAAAATTTAACACCTTCTTTTGTTGTACAAACAAGTACTGAATCACCGATTATACTCATATCACGACAAATACGTGAAAATTCACTACTTGGCATTTTAATTGTACATGAGTAATCTGTATCTGGAATACCTACATGCGCAATACCAAAATCCATTAAACGTAATTCATAATCAGCAAATTTATCTTGATCTAATAAAAATTAATTGAATGGTTTCTATTTAAAAGAAAAAAACACAAATAATTTTACTTTGGGATTCCATTGATATGATAATCGAATCAGAATCATCATTAACACGTATTGTTAATGAATCGTCTTTACCCATTGTTTTAAGTACTTTTGACATACTAGATAATAAGGAAAACAAGAACAATCGACTAGATCATTACTTTTTTTTGCTTTCGAATGTTTTATATACCTAACAAGATTTATATCAAGACTCATATTTCGATCACATCGATATGATTCGAAACCTTCACTTCGCATGACAAGTGAAACTACATATAAACAATCCATAGCTTGAAATGTTATACCATTACCACTGCATTCCTATGTTTCTACTTCTGCTAGTTCACGAAGGCCTTTAATAACTTTAGCAAAAATTGAACCGTGTAAAAGACGAGCCTAAAGATAAAAAATTTTTATTCAATAATTTTTTTCTCTGATATAGAACAAAATTTATACTTCGAACATGATTGTACTTAAACTATGAATAAAATGTGCAGTAGACGATCTAGAAATAGAAGCAATATTTAACTAGAAATGAATTGCAACATTGTCATGCAATAACATGAAAGCAGTGTACGTATTTGTCTATCGATAATCATTTTTTTCTTTCTTCCTTTGTAAGCTTTGTGTGTATTATTGTTGTTGTGAATCTGTTTATAATATAAAGCCAATAGAACAAAAGTCATCAAGTGTGAAACTAGGGGCCTCTAGATTCTGTCTCTATTACAAAAGATGAAAAGTATAAGCTATATAAATGCAACTATTTAATTGGTTTTAATAAAAAAAGCGCCAAAATGAATGACACAATATCGAACTAAATTACATCCTTCATGTTGTCTTTCCTCCTAATCCATCAACACCTAATACTCAAAATCGTCTCTTTATACGAGTGGCTCCAGGTGAAAGTCGATACTGTTGTTGTCGTCTTACATTTATTGGTATTAATACAACAACTTACTCAGCTATTGCTGCACTTCTTGCCTAAGGACAATTAACATCAATTGAAGTTATAAAGTTTTTGATATATATTAACAACAAGGGTGTGGGTGTGGATGTGAATGTGTTGTGAATATTCCAGTCACATCTACACCCACACCCACACACCCACACCCTCATGAAAGTTCTCACTTCACAATTGTCGTTGGTACAAGTGATTATGCATATGGTCAGGATACATGCAAAAGTCTGGCGTTGAGTTCTCCATCACAAGCAATTATGAATGCTGATAGCCATGAATATTTTTGCAGAGAATAACTCTGTACTCTTGTGACAAGCTGACGTAAATACAACTTTAATTAAAAGATTTTCTTGTGTGAACAATTCTCGCAATTTGATATTCGTTTCGTTTTGTACAACGAACAAGTCATTTTTTTTGCCTATAATTTTGAGTATACATACAATATACTGTACACTAACTTCAGATTTGTTGAATGTTTTAACAGATATTATGTTTTTGATTTTTGATTTTTGATTTTCTAATAAAATATTGTTTTATTTGTAAATATACAGTTTCAATATTAAATAAGTTTGTTTCTTTTCTTTTTTTATCAATGTTTGGACACATCTGCTATCACAATGAATAGATGCGATGATGATTCATAAGAATAAGTATCGTGAAAGAACAAACAAAAAACAAACATGTTTTGATTTCCTTCAAGGATAAAGCTCACCAATACTTTTACAATGAGCAGTATCAGTGTAATAATCACTCATAATACTTATCATCTGCTTTCACAGGAGTGTATCAAACACTGATTCATCTTTGCTTTTGTTGTTATTGTGTACTCTTTCTGAGTATATAATGAGTCGTAGAGACCAAGCAATTTTATTCAGCTTGGATTGATGAATATCAATAGCTAAGGGATATTTTAGTAGTAATTAATATTATTTTATACCTCTCGTGATGAATTATTGATAGGTTCAGTTAATTAAACTGCTTTGTTTCTATGTTCGTGTTTTCTAAGAGCACTAGATTTTACTTGATATTTTATCAAAGTTTGCATCTGTTCTTTTTAAGATAATATTGTACTCTTGTTGGATCTATTTCTGCTCGATCTACGTTAATTATCTAAACTCAAAGTTGAAGTTGATGGTTGTCAAGATGTAGATGTTTCTTTTTTTTAAATTAGGATAATCTTTATGGAATGTTCTGGAGTCTTTTCGTACGATTTTTGCATATGTATGAAGTTTAAAATTTAGACTAATTAAATTCATCAACGAAATTATTTTGAAACTTGTTAGGTATAGAATAATAGAGCACTTTGAGAAGTATCCAATTTTTTTGTTCATCTTGTTTTCTATTACATGTGTGTCACATGTACATACAGCGTCCCGAAAATTATTAGTACGATTTTTCTTTGATGAAAGAGAAGCAAAGTAAGGGCTCTTTAAGGTTTGGCGAATATCGAAAGAACCATCACGTCTTCTAGTATATACATCATAGAAATCAGGATTGTTGAGTGAACCTATATAAAGTTATAGGTTAATCTTTGAAAATCATGCATATTTTCTACGCCAAAATTAGTTATACGATACCTATGGGAATGAAATTTTCTTGGTTCATGAGTTGAAAAAATTTCATTATAAAGTCATTAGATATATGAAAGAATCAGTGATAGATTTGTAGCATTTGTTTAGTTTTAGATCTAATTTAGATCTAATGACTTTATAGTTCATTTTTTTCAACTCACAAACAACGAAAATTTCACTTCCATAGGTATCGTACAAATAATTCTTGCGTAAAAAATATGCATGATTTTCAAAGATTAACCTATAACTTTACATAGGTTTACTCAAGAATCTTGGTTTCTATGATGTAACCAGTAGAAGATATGATAGTTCTTTTGACATTCACATTCAAATCTTAAAATACTCCTTATTTTGCTTATCTTTCATCTAAAACGAAATCGTACTAAAAATTTTTGCGGCAACTATATTAAGGAAGTGAGTGTGCGTGTCGAGAAAATCCATACCCACATAATCTTAGATTTATACGTTCAGTCTGGAATATAAAAATCCTAAAATAAATAAATAATACTTATTGAATTCCAATAAGGGAGAAAAAGTTGTTTATTACATTTTTTTTGTAGGTTGGTTTTAATAAACAAAATAATACTTCTATACTATATAGCTTGGCGTTTAAAGAACATCCCTTTTCCTCACCCAAAATTTGTTTGTTTTTCAGTTTTATTTTTTTGTGGCCATTGTAGAGTTCAAGTAGTATTTATCTACTCAGTATATTTCGGAATCCAACAATTGTCTTTAAAGGTTACAAAAATCGAACAGAAATCAATTTTACAATAACGGAGATAGATAAAATCGTATACTTTTCCCCTTTTTTCTCAAAATCAAACTTTAAAAAAAAGTACTGCTTCACCCGTGTTTCTCGGACATGGTAAGCGGGATCGAGCTGAAATGCTTTTCCCATATTCTGGTCACTATTAGGGATGAGTATTTTTTTTTTCTGTTTAAGAAATATTGTTCTGCTGATCTTTGGCAGATTTCACAAAATTTGCTGTAGTAATAAGAACAAGTGCTTTTTAGGGTAGACTTTGTATTTTAACTTTTTTATTGAAACGACAACAGATAAAAAGAAATCAAAATAGAAATATCCATCCCTAGCAATGTCTAATACTTGTAAAAAGTTTTTCAGCTCAATTGAACATACTGTCTCGAAGAAACCAGGGCAAAAACTAGGAACCATTTCTCGCTTTTATGACCCTATTATCTCATAGAAGACTGCATCCGGGAATTTTAAGTCTATGACAACTTTTGCTGTACTCATCAAAATCTCTCTGTCCTAAAAATTTCAAAATTTGCTGATGAGCAGGTCTCGAGAAGTCGCGGAAAGGGGGAGAGCTTGTCATAAAGTCGATGAAATGAATTGTTATATCATGTATTATTAAGATTAAAACCATGTCAAGCAAACCCATTTGAATTGGTTGTTGATTTTACTCATACTTGTACCGATAATCGTTTTAAAAGAGATTATTCATCAAAATGGTTTATATGCATGCCGAGTTATTTTTATTATAATCTTCAAGCATCTTATATCAATAATGGTTATAATAGTATTCTTTAAGAATGTTTGCACCGAGTACTGAAGCTATGTAGCGCAATGTTGTGCCTTATTTCTTGACGATATAGTTAATGAAGTAAAAGCAGAATTAGTAAATACCTAAATCTTTCTTTCTTTTTCTATGCATACAATTCTATTGAAATGGTTGCAAGATAGTTGTCTTTCGAATTACTTTGAATAAAATGTTGAAAGCAAGAACTTAAATATGAGAATTACTATTTGCCGTGTGAATTTATTTGAACGATGAAATTGATATGATATTTCTATTAATAATAAGCTTTGAAAAACAATACCATAGTGGCACTACTAGTATTGAGATTTCAAGCGTTTACATTATAATTCACTAAGAATATCTATAAGATATGACAATGGACATCAGATCAATAAAGATGAAAAGATCTCGTTTTTATTGTAATACTCTTGAGAGAATACAAAAATAAAATCTTTCTAAGTATACCATAGAATAATCAACAGACAACGACAGGCTTTAGCATTAAATTGTTAAGTATTCTTGTTTGAAAGAGTTTGTTCATATTTTCTTGAATTTATGTCAATGATTGTAGCAATCAATGGATTGCTCACGAGAATAAAATCATCACACAGTCTGTTGACATAACTGAAAATGTGTTTGCCACTATCGACAGCCGACCAGGCACAAACAACAGCCGAGATAACTACACCTACGATAGCTGTGGTAGCAGTAAGTGCAATGCGTGCACCTCCTGTTATAGCAACTGCAGCTGGTGCGGCTGCTCGAATAATATCATCAGAGAACGGAGCACCTGCCATAAACGCTCCACCCACTGCTGCTCCCAATGAAGTTTTGCTGGATTTTGATTTCATTATTGTAGCTGTAACACAATTTTCAAGTGTTGATGTTTGCAAACAGCCTTCATCAATGGTTAGATGAAATTGAGTTAAATATTGACGAAGATTCTTTGTTATACCAAATGCTTGTCGAATATGATCTCTTGCAAGATATCGTGGCAGCTGATCCCCGAAAGGTACAACAGCAGCAAATCCAGCTCCGACCTTATAATTGAATACATTCAGTACATAACCACGGCGAAAACATATATTGATGACACGAGCCAATGCTCTCATTGCTAATGCATGAATACGATGATTACGTGCATCAAATGCTAAACGACCTAGCTCATCAAATAACATTTTCATATCAAATGGTTGATCTTTCAATAATAGTTCAGCATCGAAACTTGATGGCATATAATCAACCGCTGTCAGATAAACTTGATGTGATTCAACCTCATTGTCAAATCTTAACTGTTCAATGATTGTTGATGTGAATCGATTACGTTGCATTGACGTACTCTTACCAAAATATATACCTGCACGTTCACGAAATTTAGCCAAAAAGTCAATATCTACTTTGGATCGTACTAAAATGCAATGTCGCTTTAATGTCTGTTCGATATAATTAATCCAACCATGTTGTTCATAACGAAGTTTTTCATCGAATACTAATATATAAATATCACAATCAGCTTTACGAATTTCATCTAGATAATTGCCTGGCTCAACTTGACTATCAGCCGTAACTGTATCTTTATCATGACCTTGAATATCCACAAGTGTGGCAGCAGTTTTCTTTAAGTGATTATCAGGGGATGTTAATAGTTCTTTTCGATCGAATTGTAATTGATAATAAGTACTTTTTATGCTACGTACCGGCGAGGATTCATCAGTAGATAAATCTTCCATACCAAGAAGACGATTAAGAATGGTACTTTTACCAACACATGTATAGCCAATAATGCCAATTTTAGCTCGTACGATATCATGACGATGATTCAACCATTGATCATTAAGATCTTTTTCAATCGTTAATATTAAATCAAGAATTTGTGGTTGAAATTGATCACCTGAGGCAAGTGCACAATTCCATTCGATCATTTTCGCATGTGTATTTGAGAATGCTCGGTAAAACTCAGCATCTGAAATATCGATAAGTAAACGTTCACATAAATTAATATATAGTGAACCGATTTCATTATTGTTATCATGATCAGATATTGAAATAATCTGTTTATATTCATTTTGACATGTTTTCATACTACCAATGGGATCTTCTTGAATTCGTGTGACAATATCTAATAAATTCTCAGCCATAATATGAGCATCAGTCATTACTTGATGCGCTTGTGTCCATCTGGAGAAACGTTCAAGTGTCAAAATAAGATTTACTAAATGTCGTCGTCGACATTCAATATCACACCAAAGATCAATCATATTATATTCTGTTAGATCTCTTGAGAGCAAATGTCGTGTATAACGAATACCATATTTTATAGCCATATTATTCCACAATTGTTCTACGAGTGATTGATGCTCCATTGGTATTTGATCATGAGGATATTCAAGTAAACAATACATACAACGAAATCGTTTATTATTTCCATTAAGGGTTTTTACTGAATTTACACAGTGAGTACAATATAATCGACCACATTTTGTATTAATACATTTTCGAGGAACACATTCCTCTTGTATTCCGAACGAACCAAGACACATTGTGCATGAGTTATATACCTATAATAAAAATCAAATAGAATTTGACAAAACACTCACACAACTTATTAACATAACTAATATTCTCAAAATATACCTGTTTCATATTTGTATTGGCTTTTCTCCTATTGGATATAATCGATGAATGTTCTGTTTCATTGTTAACTTGTCGAGAATCTACCAAAGAATTATATAAAATTCATTATGTTCGAATATATAAATTACTTTTCGTAGAGAAAATGCCCATAATATTTCTCAAGTATAAAGTTCGATGAATACACTCTAAAAAAAGACTATTTTATTATATATCATATCATACCAATAAATAAAATGCGTTTCATGCACCATTTTTGATATTTTTATATCATTTAGACAGGTGTATTGTTGTCACAAAATGAAGAATCTCTTTATCAAAACACATGTTTATCAAACAGATGTCATTGTGTCGCTTTATAATTTTGTTTTTTCTTCATCATTTGATCACGAAGTGATGTTCGTGATTCAAAGTAAATATGTATAGTGACAAGAAGATAATATGATCTTTATCATAAAGCTATGGTATGGGTAGCATTGTTGAAGAATACTTTTCAAAGTACAAAAAAAAAAGGTTTATCATAGAAAGTGGCTTTTTATGTTCTTTTGTCATGTTCCAAGATAGAAAAACAGTACAGAAGCTTGTATGATTTTTTTACAATATACTAGTCGGGCAAAAAAACTTCGAGCAAATCGAACACTTGTTGATCTCGCAGGATGTACACTAGCTAAAATTTAGAAAGATTTCTTCATCCTTGTATAGAAAAATTGTGCTTGAAATAAAAGTTTAAAATGTTCTGATATGTAGTACTGTTGAAATATTATTCCTCATACACTCTGCATGGAATTCTGAGATAGTTTCGCTATTGAAAGATTTCAGGAGGTTTATGAACTTGTTGAGATGTTACTCGAATTTTTTGATGCAAGAATAAAAGCTTGTTCAGTGATATTCAAAAAAAAAATCTTTTTCTTGTATTATCGCTGTGGAAGACCTTCTTCGATACTGCTATAACCAGATAAGACAGTTGCATTATGAATACTAGAAGATCTTAGTTGTGATTCTGTATTGATAATAGAGATATATTGTCCAATTCCTATTAAGATACGTTTATATGATAACTGATTCATGCTTTACTTCTTGCATAAAATACCCGACAAAATCAGTACGTATTCCTTATTCAGATAATCCAGAATAGAAAAACTATCTAGAAAAATAGTATCATGATATAAAATAGTTGATTCAGGTACTGTATAGATGCATAAGGCCGTGCATGTACTCGATTTCAGACAGTGATTAAATTTACCAGTATATTTATAGGTTTTTCAAATCATTGCAATAAAAGAAAATGTTCGCGAAAGAGTATGATGGTTCGATTATATTTGAGATTTTTATGAATGACTACTTCAAGGTAGAGCTGTGTTAAAAGCTTTTGCAGCAGAATAAATTTATACTAACCATATGGAACTATGAATTTATCGAGCTTTGTCAAAAAAGATACTGAATTTTATGAGCAGGTGATGTGTCTTATGAAATCTATCATTATTTACAATTGCATCAATTGTTTTCATCTCGTTCATATGCTCTCCTAGAGAGGCGCAGTATCAGTTGAGAAATATGCATGAGTAGCGAAGAGTGAATGAGAAAATAAATTTTCGAACTGTTTTATGGTTGTTGTATCGGAAGGATCGTATGTTCATATTTGTTCGAAGTTGTTCGAACGATTCATTGATCGAGTAGATGTTTGTTAATTTGAGAATAATTAAAACATGAAGCCTTGTAGAAGTTCCTATTTCATATTTGACTTGATTCAATTGATATTGTCGAGAATCAGTGCGGATAATAGTTATTGAATTGTGTTAAGATCTTCATTCCAACATGTCATGTTGAGAGCATTCGTATTCATGATATCTAACATATTAGATATTGATGTACAGCGTCCTTAGAAAAGTAGTAGTTGATATTGTGATTGTTAGTTTATTTTGATATGTTTTAGAAAGACATAACTGAATCTTGACAATGACGAAGGACTCTAGAAAAAGGGTTATAAACTATGGAGGGACGTAATTCTAAGCACATAAATGAGAAAAAACCTAGAAAGGTCACTGTTGCCTGCTAGCTACATTACAAGATATTGCTTTTGATTCATAAAAGAAAAACGAAGAAAAGAGCATGTGCTTCTCTGGGCACTGATTTATTCCTAAAGTTAATTTTCATAAGTTTTCAATGATTATTTCAAAATGGAGACAAGGTGAAAAGTCAAGAGTGTGATAATAATTGCGGACATAAACTAATTAGCTGTTATGTATTTAAAATACATATTTTAAAGCAGGATCTCGACATTGTTTCTATTTTTTCATAGTTATCTCAAAATAAATATTCCATCATAATATCGAGCCATTATACTTCGATTTACATATGTATAGAACTCGAAACTTTGCTAAATATACTTATAAAACTTTCATGTTTTGATAGCTACATTGATTTCGAATGTAGTTTTTCTCTTATCGTTGGTGTGTTTAATTAAAACATGTAGATTGATTTGAAAGAAGATAAGAGCTGAAAGACCACCAAGCACAGGTCGAGCTGTAAAGTATACAGCCTTGTTTGTTGTTGTATCGTAGACATCGGATAGAGGTATTCGCGTTGGTGTTGAATGTAAAAATGTGTAAAGGCTATCGGCAATTTGTTGTCGCTGCTCGGCATTGCCTCTTGTTATTGCAGCTATCCACATCGATGAATCGAGTTTAGCAAAAAGACTTCGATTATCTAAAGATAAATCAAATCGATTCATTTTTGTTTCCCAATAAGCTAATTCAATATCTCGGATCATCAATTTTCCAAAAACAGTACCATCTAATCCAATGACAAATGACCAAAACATATTGTATTTTTGTGACCAAGATAAATCAGAAGCATTGTATTCAACCCAGGTCAAACAATCAGACAGTAAGATCTTACAAGATCGCACCTCTGATCTTGTACGATTTCGTAAGATCAGATGAAAATTGTACAGAAAATCGTCGTCTAAGAATTCTGTTGATCCGTCGTACTATAAGATTCTTGAAAGACCCTGTTACCATGTAAGATCTTTCACAAATCTAATAGTATGATCTGATGCAAGATTTCTTAGACTACGATTTTTTGTCGGATTCTTGTAAGATTTCGTCCAGATTGCAAGATCTTACACGCAGATGATAAGATCTTACGTCAGATTTTCCGATCTGGGAAGACGAAAATGATCAAGACCATTCCAGCCTAATATTGTCCAATTATAAGCAAAACTTATAGCTTGTTTCATATACAGATCAGCTTGAGTTTTATTACCTAAACCCATCGAAAGTAGTATAGAATTTGCTGCAAAACTGATTATACCTTTAAAAACTAGATTAGCATTGTGTGCTGAAGGATTTTCCTAAAAATCAACATAGATAGATTCATTTAGTTTTCATAATGTGATTTTCTTATCTGAAAGATTTGTGAAAATACATACAAAATCGTCAGTACACGATTGATTTTCAGGATCTAGTAATGAGTCATTAGAATACTGTGCCCAACTTTGAAGCAGTGACGCATATGATCGCAGATAGTCGATTTATTGATTCTGACGTTGAGTAATAGCTGCCAAAAGAATTAACATATTGTCTTTTTCTCCCATGAGCATCTGTTCTTGATCTTGTGGAAATATAGCACAGACTGGCTAATCACCAAGATGATGAGGCACACAAGGTAGTGTATATCGCACATAAGTTTCATTATTAGCGTAGATCAATAAAAGAAGCATAATTCGATGTAAATATTCAGGTCCAAGACCGAGAAAGAATAAAGCAGCTGGGTGAAATAACATCAACAGTACTCACATCACCGTCTGAACTTTGTTCTTTCATATAAGACCACACTTCTTGTCGTTCATCATTCCATACGGTCACACAAGCTTCAGGTACTTGTCGTTGAACAAGTGAGACAAGTGTAACATTTTGATTATCTATCCAATATAAACATTTTTTGCAAGCGTATCTTTTACAGCAAACAAATGCTTTAGTAACCTATGAATAAAATAATGATAACCTACCTGCTGCATTGATGTGTCGATCAATAAGTATCTTGTCATATTCATCAGCTTCTTCTCGAATATCATTGAAACTTTGAAAGGCAGCATCAATTAATTGTTGAGCATCGGAATAAAGTTTTGTCCAATATAGTCGTAGATAATTTGAAAAAAATTCATAGATAATTGTTCATCATGATACAAGACAAGGAAAGCATACTTGGAACTGGACCGGCAAACCGGTACCGAACTAACCGGTTTGCCGGTTGCCGGTCCGGTCTGGTCGAAGTTTTAAAACTGGCCGGTTTTTACCGGTTTTTTTAACTTTTAAAAATTTTTGGGGCACTATAACTTGCATATTTTGCTCATTTTTAACGGTTTTTATGATTTCAATGATCAAGGGATATGAGCTTAGAAGTTTCCAACTGATAAATTTTCAATCATTGTTGAAATCCCAGCTCTAAATATTGGCTAACACTTTCCCATCCTAGTATGAGGACCTTGGAGCATGTTGAATGAATGTGTTTATGTTCACGAAAAATAAGCCAGATATTAGAAGCTAATATCGGTCTAAACTATAGATTTTTCACCTCGAAATTTTGAGTTCACTTTTCTGGACTAATTTTACTTCACTTTCATAGAATCCCAATAGCTAGTAGTTTTCAGTTCATGCTTTCATAACAAAATATAGGAAAAGATTAAGTTCCGTTGTCAAGATCTTGTGGACTACTGCCATCATGTAATTGTGAAAATACTTAGATATTAAGAAACCTTAAATAGGAAGTCTAATATGAAAGCCATACGTTTTAGCTCACCTTATCTTTCTGTCTGCAGTAGCATCCTTTTTTGCGGATTGAAATGCCTTTCAGCTGTGTTAAAATCATTATTTCAAATAAAAATAGATTAAACTTATCAATTGTAAAGAATTCATATCGTTATAGAAAAAAGTCAGCCAAAACATAATTAGATATTGTTCAATATAAGTTGCTTGAGTTCTGAGTCAAACATTTTTGAAAGAAATGGTCGTTCCTTCTTAATGTTAGCACATGAAACGTGGCAAACTATAATACGAGCTGTTACTATTAGAAACTTCAAGAATTATGAGTTTGACATCGTATATCTTCATCAAACTGAAGTAATAGACTGTTTCTCGAAAGTACTGATTGGTTAATTGATGCATAAAATGCACCGGTTTTTTGTTGGTTAAATCAAGAATTTGGGCCGGGCGGTCCGGTCGGGTCTAAAAGAATCTGACCGGTTCCAAGTCTGAAGGAAAGACGAATATATATTTTCATTCTGATTAATTTCACCATAATCAAAAAGAAAAGATGAAACTGAATATCCATTGTGAACGGATCGTGGTCCTTGACTTTCATCTTGTTTAGGAAGATTGAAATCTCCTTGAATGAATGATATTCGACATAGTGAAACATTTGTTTGTGTACTATCAAGAAGAAATGGAGATCTAGAAGCAACATAGAAATAACTCCAATCCGGTTTTATTCGATCTCCATGAGTTTGAAATCGAGCATGATTGTAAAATTGCCAACAATGTTCTCCTGCTCTCGTCTCTTCCCATAGAACTTGATCATTAATTAATGAGTTGACAACAAAATCAGCAGAAATTTCAATGTAGATTTGAACTGTAAGCTCTTAACTGAATGAAATCGAACGAATCGAATGAGTCAAATAACCGAGAGGTAACGAAGATACTTCAACAGAATGAACAAATACTGATTGAATAAATGTCACATTTAATTCGACTTCTTCACTTTGAACTGTATACATTGTTTGTGTTGGTTGTACACGTCTTCGAATTTGTTTCATTCATCCAATACTCTCATCAGTTATACCCATAAATCTTAATATTTTACTTCCATTATTATTGCGAATCAAACTAACAGGTGACATATTTTGGTTTTCAATTCAATGTGAAGTAGGTACATCATATAGATGATCTCCCTTAGACCAAACTTGAATGGTTGGATTAAGTAGAAGAAGTGAAGTAGCTGGCGGACGAAAATCTTGCACAAGATTTTCCTTTCTCAGTTGTACAAATATCAAAAGACAAACAACACACTTTAAAACAATGTCTACTTCGCACTGACATTGTCAATTCTTCTTCAAATCTACACAACTGTCCATTTATATAAGATATATAAAATATGAGATAAACAGAATATTAAAAAAAGAAATGATATTGCAAATAAAGGCAGTATGTCGACAGAAAAGGAAAAAACGACACACTTAAGAAAGTAAATTTTGTCATCATAATATAATTCATCTTTTATAGAAAACTGCGTAAGCAGCGTTTTTCATCATGACCCCGATCACTTACAAAGAGTAAGGGTTAGCTATGGTCATGGCTACGAGACAAATTTTTATTGGTAACGGTTTCTGTTCACGCTCACAAAGAACGACGAACACAGTTAAAGATCTATGCGTTTTCTTCTCTCTCTCTCTCTGTTTATTCTTTAAGAAACAAGGACCAAACTAAAAAGTACAAAGGCTAATTAAGGTCAAAGAGAAGAGAAGAAAGAGGATCGAGCGTACCTTATTAGAGTTCAGTGTGTTTTTTCATAGAGTCATGGGTAGTGCCTGGCATGACCAACTTTTTTGATCACGGTCACGGCTCTTCTTTCTGGTTCCTCAACATTAAAAAAAACTTTCCAGAAAGAGCTATTGCAAAGTTTCTGTTTACTATTAAAAGTGATGATGGGGGAAGAGTAGCTTCGCGAAGGTGCTCATAACCCCCCTCAGGGGTTTCCAAAATCACGAACACTAGAAACTTCCCAATTTTTCATAAAAAAAGATGACGGAGAGGGAGGCAGGAAGTAGCTTCGCGAAGGTTTCCCTACTTAGGGATGCAACAAACTCAAACGTTTTGGGTTTGGCACCATTGGGTTTGGATTTGAAACTAGATTTGGATTTGATTTGGGTTCGGGTTTGAACTTGTAGTCTAGGTTTGGGCGTAGATTCGGATTTGGTCATCATTGGCCCAAATTCCAAAGGGTTTGGTAAGATGCGGTGTTACAAACAACAATCTACTCTACTAGGAATGGGGTAGAAGCAAAAAAAAGATTTTAGGATTTGGTCTCAAACCGTTTGTGTTTGGATTATGATTTGATCCCAGATGCCAAAATATTTTTCTGACTCTATCCCACCCCTAGTATAGTGGACTGCTGTTAATGACACCATATCTTACCAAATCCTTTGGAATTTGAGCCGATGATGACTAAATCTGAACCAAACCCCAAAGGTTTGATGCCAAATCCAAATCTATCTCAAGATTTGTTACATCCCTACCCCTACTCCCCCTCAGGGATTTCCATAATTTCGAAAAAGTTCCCGTGACTGACCGTGACCAAGCTCCAGTCACGGTGACGTCCACCATATTTGAAAAAAGTCACGAACGGTCACGGCCGTGACTGTGACTCACTGGTAGTCACGGCAGTTACGCCGGGCACTAGTCATGAGACGTCTATCTATATGAACTCTATTTTACATTTATTTCTACAGCCTGCTCCTCTTTTAAAAATTGATTTTGAGCCAGGTGCATTCAAATCGCATAAAATTTTGAGAATATGTTGGGATTATAGTTGAGATGCTATGTTAAAAATTCTCTATGAGTCTTCATTCTATTTTTATATGATAATAGAAAAGCTTAATTAAAAAACGGACTCTGTTCAATATTGCAGCTTCTAATGTTTTATCAAAAAAAAAAAACTAAAATCAACTGCCTATAATGAAGTTTCTTCAAGAACTATAAGATGAATAATCAAAAAAATATAAACAAAGAAAAAACGAAAAACATTTCCTTTTTTTTCTGAAAACAGCATAGTTTACAAGCAAATAAGACTAGGAATCATCAAAGATTTTTAGCAAAGAAGAAAATTACAAATAAAAACTCATGTCGTTTATGAAACATCAGACCTCGAACTATGTTCTGATGCAGTTATCTCAAAGACAATTTTTCTGCCGAAAATTGTCTTTTTTTGGAAGAATGACATGAACTTTAAATGATTTGTTAACATTACCATTTTGTTTCCTATTGTTGATGACATTTTTGGATTAAATCGTCTTTATTTATATACATATGTATGATACAGTTATCGGTAAATCCTATTCTCCACTGCAAAAGTTCAAGAAAAGTAATATACAAAAAACAATCACTGTCACTCAGCATATACATGAACACAAAATATCTTTGAAAAAAACGGATAAGATGTTGCTAAAAGAAATAGAACTTGTATTATCTTAATTATCACCATATTGTTCTTTTTGCTGTTGATTTTCAGTCATTTTTATATTCGCTATTTCATTAGCTTCATTCCAAAAATTGAGTAAACGATTCTTGTCATTAGCACAAAAAGCACGAAAATCAGCCAACATAATATCCTGATATTTTTCTTCACCAGTCTGAGAACTTCGCCATTTTTTACCTAAGCAAAAATTCCAACACCAATAAAAACCACAATCAAGTGGTGATAATTGACTATCCGTAGTTCCATTGGTTGCAACACGCATTGATCGACGATTACGATGCACATTATATACATCAGATATAATATAAACAAGCATGCCACCACTAAGATGCACATAATATATATTTTCATCTTTATAACTTACACAAGCGTTTAAAATAAAGCCATAACTGTAGTAAAAATGAAAGAATATTTGAATATATATATTTCAAGATTGAATCAATAAAATATATACAAACCGTTTTAAAATGAGCTCTTGAAAAATGCTTAATCGCTGACTTTGATCTTTTTCTTCAAGAGCAGCCAGTTTATCACGTAAACATGATGAATCCATTTTGATGTAAATAGGACCTAAAAAAATCAGAAAAAAAAATAGTCTATTATCGATAAATTAAAGAGTTGAATAAATTCTTTAGATATACATTAATCATACAATTGATTGATAAGGTTAATTAAACTATCATCAATTGATATTTTTAGGTAGTCAAACTTTTCAAAAAAGCACGCAAATACTTTAGAATTACAATAGCTAGTCCGATAAATAAGTTAACCTCTGATTAGAACTATGAAATCCGACAATCAGGATTGAAGGTGTAAGCTGATGCATCGATCGACCATAGTGACTAAAATTTTTCAAAGATTTTCTTAATTTCGAGAAATTTTGAAACAACAAAGAAAAAAAAATCATTGGCAGAGAACTTATTGACAAGAAATCGAAGGCGGTGATTCAACCAATTTGCTTACATCTCTCATCAGGATATATATTATCAAACAAACCATATGATTTAAACCGAACAAAAACCAGTCTATAGACCGTTCGGTATACTGATCATAAACTGGAGGTAGTTTGATATTAAAATGGTCGACTAAGTTTTAACCGCCATTCTATTGTGTTAAACCGAGAATTGTTCTCCGATTGACAATCTACTACTGGTACACCGACGGTAGTACGAACAAACATACAACATGGGAATCAATCTCTATAAAGCATAATTATTGTCAATACCTCGTAAAGGATCGAATTCAGCAAATGGATCACATGGGATAGGAATAAGATGAAATGCAACTTGATTTGAACCAAGCATTGTTCCTGTACGTTGTGACCAATTTGTAATTAAATCACCAAGTATACATGAAGTTACAACAAGCCAACGAATTTCAATTTCAAATAAACAATGTGGATTATAATATGCATGATGCTGTGCTGTTGCCCATTCACGTCTGTCAGATATATGTTTTTGATCCGCATCAACATGACAGGTACGTTTTAACATTGTTGATGTTGTATCTTGTGTTGTTGATGTTGGATCTTGTGTCGTTGATATTGTAACTTGTGTCGTTGATGTTGTATCTTGTGTTGTTGATGTTGTATCTTGCGTTGTTGATGTTGTATTTTGTGAAGTATTATTCACATTAATAGAATTTGTATTTGCAGCTGCACGTGATGTTGCTAATAGAGTGGGTCGTGGTATTAATTGTTGATTAACAATTAATTTTGGTAATAAACGCATTGATTTACATTCACCAAAACCTAAATAATCCATTGATGGAATATAATGTTGAGTTTGATGAAATTCAACTTCAGCATATTCATTTGAATCAAGACGAACTAAAATGAAAGTAAATAAACAAAAGAAATTTTTCAATAAAATAAAATGAAAAACAAAAGCAATATTTACAATTTGGTGTTTTATCTGTAACAATATAATAAAGAAAAAAACCAAAACGAAATAAAGTCTCTGAATGTGTACAATGTCGAATAAATCCACGTTGAAATAATGTCTAAAAAAAAATATAAAATTCAGTTTTTTTCTTGTTTGTTTTTAAACTCTTGCGTTATTTTGTTTACTTGAAATAATGATAAGCCTGTTTGTTCATTTTGTATATCATCACTGTGTTCAATAGACCACCATACAGCTTCAACAGCAATAAATGAATATTCTGGTAGAACTGGATCTTTAATAAATAATAAGCCTTGATGTTCATCACGACATAAAGTTAAGAGATTATTTATTGCATTCACGTCTCCTGACATAATACCATCAAGTTTAAATGTTTTACATGGTATTCTTAAAATTAATAACAAAAAATATTCAATAAACTAATAGAACTCAAATTCATACGAATGTCGTCCTTGTCGTCTATGACAATCATGTCGTTTTAAGCCAGTTACTGGATCAAGTGGCTAAAATAGATTGGTAAAAATAATAAAAACAAAATCTAGAAGATTTATTAGTAAAAAACTTACTCGATGAAAAAACTCATTTGTTCCAGCACGTATACGTGTTAATTTATTAAGCATAACTAAAAATCGAATAAAATGTTCAACATAAAGAAAAAAATCTTCATGTGACATTTCTTGACGACTATCACATCGTCTTTGACCGGATTCAATATTTTTTATTGTATAATCTTTTGACACAGGCATAAGGACTAGACGAGTACGCCAGAATTTCATTGTCTAAATATATTCATTTAAATAAACATAAAATACTAATAGTCTAAAAAAAAGTTTATGACAAAGATAAAAATGTCTTTTTGTTTGTCTTCATCAAAGAAACACAATCCTCATTTTTAAGCTTTATAAGTAGAGACTTTATAATCATAAGAAATTTTACAAAGTTTGAGTTAGAATGAACGCATTTTTATAGAGATACCGGCTTGTAATGAAAATATTCTTGTTTTGAAACATAATTCAAAACAGACATATACAATATGAATACCTCGGTAAGAATGTGTTTTGTTCTTACTGAAACTTATGAAAGTATTTAATGACTATAAAGCTCTTCAAGAACAATATTTCAGTTCGAAGTCCTTTTATTCAAGTCATCAGCAATGCAATACTCGTACAATATCTGGTACATTCTGTGTACCTGAATAAGTCAAGCATTAGTGTTTTAGCTATTCTCAGAAAAAAAGGCAATTTATGTACAGTTATTTGTTGTTGCTCACATTCCAATTCATTTGTTACTTAATAAATTAAGAGTTTTAGCCAAGTTGAAAAGAGGATTTGTATTAGTCAAAAACAAAATCGAACATAAATTGATAAACGAACTCTCACACTGTATCAAAACAGGTTTGTTCACTATACATCATGTTAATAGTTACAAGCGAAAAAAAGAATTCAACAGTTGAGAATACTCTCTTGTTCGACTTATTTTTTCTCTAATATCTTTCCGTTTGAAGGATTATTTAGACATTCTTTTGATTTGAAACTTGTCTACGAAGTCCTTATTTTTGTTGAGCTAAATCATATTGTATCTTATAATACTTACATCAGAATGTATATTATCACCCATTCCATGACTGCACACAGCATTATCAACAATATTCCATGGAAATGATTCTAAACTTTCAAGTTTTAATTCATAACAATCTGGCTCATAATTAGATGCATCTGGGCATTGAAAACGATATTTATATTGAACTGCTTTAGGTTGAAAAACATATCTTAAAAGAAATTTAAAAAAAATTTTTCAAAAAGAAAGTTCATTTTTAAAGATATACTGAGGTTTAAATTGTTGAACACATATAACAACAGTATCTTGTGCTTGATTATCATCTGTTACAAGACTCAATGTATGATAAATACGACCAATACTTAATAAACGATTATATTCAGTTTCTTTATAACCAACACGTTGAATTTTTTCAATCATTAATTTACGAATATGAGGTGGAATATCAATAATCATTTGAAAACCCTATAAATATTAAAAAAAAACAGAAATTTCTTTAAATTATATTTTTATATATTACCTGTGATAAACGTTGATCAATTAATTCATCAAATACTGATCTTTGACGTTCCATTGGATCAGGTCTATAAAACAAAGAGAGAAAAAAAAATATTAAAAAAAAAATAATTATTATTTATTTACGGAATTAATTTGTCATGAGTTCCACTTCCATTATGTACATGTCTTCTGTTTCGTTCATATTCATGTAATGGTGGTAAAGAATGAATAAGTTCATATGAATTATGTGTATAATCACGTTTTAGATCATCCTCTGAAGGTTCAACATCAAATGTTGTTGGAAGAGATGCTGGTATTGTTAAAGATTTCCAATCAATACCAGTTATCATTGATGCACTCCATGGTTCAACACCAGTTGGTCCCCAAATTATAGCTTCTTTCTTTTCTTCTATAAAATGTTATACATACATTTTTTTTTATTGAACAAAATATATTTCAAAATAAAAATAAACGAACTTTTTAATGATGGGAGTTTATTTGTACTATCACTATTTAACTTTCTCATATTTATACCATTAGGATTTGTTCGATTTTCATCTGTAGAACTATCTTTACGATCGGTTGGTTCACGTTTTATTTCAAAATTCGATGGACTAACAATACTAAACGTAACATGGCATTTGTTAATACAAATATAAAAAAGAAAATTTCATTTAATCATTTACCGTTTTGGACGAGAAGATGCGTCACTATTTGCTTTTGTATGTTGGTGTGAACGTTTTGATATAAAACCATTTATAATTCGTTTTGATGTACTCGGAAGTACGAGATGAGCACAAGTACTAATATTAACAAGCATTTCGTGTCTTATTGCACCTTCCATTTTACGTAAATGATGAAAATGCCATGGAATTTTATTGGGACCTTAGAAAAATAAATATTTAAATAAATATTCAAAAATAGAAGGTGGACTATAACGAATACTACGATAAAAAAAAGTGAAATAAGATCTCTATTTCGGTTCATTCGAATAGGTGAAGTTTTTGTTTAGTAATAGAAATTGTGAAATCATTCACTTTTAAATAACCGATTGTCAAAATTTGTTCTATATGCTTCAATATAGTATCATTCATTAAGTTCATTGTGATTTCTTCTTACTCTTTTTCTCTTAGATGAGAACTGAAACCTATTTATGAAATACTTCATCTGTATTTTTCTTACTTGACAATAGGTAAAATTTCTTTAGTGAAGTTAAACATATAACTTGATAGTAATAACTGTCTACGTTATCCGTATGAAAAAAAAGAACTTTAAATAAGTTTATACGACTACTAAAAAATGAAGCTCATTTGATTGAACCCAACATGGAGATCGAACTTTTCAAAGATATCCATTAAAAAAGAGGCTATGTCTTTTCTATAAGCAGATTGTTTTTACAAGAAACCGATGCGTGTTATAGTATTAAAAAAATTAACTATTGTCAAAATACAGCAAAATCAGCATGTTGTGGACACTATTGAGGATATAATGTTCACTATAAAGAGATTCATTACCAGCAAAAACTAATAGCTGGACTTTTTAAAATTGTCCACTATGAGAGCTTCTACTGTATTTCATCTTTATTCTATCGTAGTACTGTGTTGAATCCAATCTGTAAATTATCAGGTAAAAAAAAATTGTTCTTTTCTTTTACCTATTGGAAATGTATGTGCCCATCGACGTCGTCCTGGTACCATTGGTATACGTATACTAGCTGGTGCAAATGGATTAGTTAATGCTTTTGGTCGTGAATGCATACGAGCTAATAAAATAGTCGTTAAAAAATATGTATCAGCACTTCGTGCAGCACGTAAAAAACTTTGTGGATTATAAAATAAAACTTGTGCTGATTGATTATATGTATTATGATATTGAAGATTTCCTGCTAGACTAGCTGATGCTGTATGTGAAGTTGAAAGATATATATCATCTTTAACATTAACATTAAATTGACGTGGATCATCATTTATTCCCATAGATGATGATGTTTTATTATTAACAATTAACATTCCATTAGGTTCATGTAATGTATCGTCTTCTTCTTCAATAGATGCTGGATCTGAAATATTTTCAAATTAAATTTTTATATTATAATTAATTTTTCTTTTTTTTTTCTTACGCGTAGGACTCATAGTTATATTTCGTTTTCTTGGTTTTCGAGCTTCACCATCTTTTGCTGTTGTTCTACTTGAAGATTTATTATCTTTTGCACTATTCATTTCAAAAATAAAAAAAAGAGATTCAATTTATTTTAGTTATTTGAATTTTTCTTTTCGATTTTCAATACCTTTTTGTTGATGTTCGAAATACTTGAGCATCATATTCTTCCATGGATAAATGTGGTGGTTTTGTAAATGTATTTTCTTCGATTGAATTCATAATATTTTTAACTTCTATTAATTTTTTTTTATAAATAATACATACAATTAATAGATATAATAAAAAAAAAACAAATAGGAAAAATTTCTACCTAACATTCCATTTTGAATTCGATTTGTATCAAATGGTAGACGTGGAATATAGCGTTTAAAACATGATGGTGCAGTTGAACTATGATAATAACTAAAAAAAAACAAAATTTTATTAAGATTTTATTTTTTATTTTTCAATTTAAACCTTAAATTCATCCAATGTGGTATTTGATAATCATCAGCTGTATTAGGATCTTCTTTAAAAAATTTAAATAATGGTACAGCAAATAATGGTTGTTCACCTAAACATACAAGATCACTTCCAATACCATTATCTAATACACGTTGTTTAGTCATATTTGTTAATTCACGATCAACTTCAAATACACCAGCACCAGGTGTTATAACTAATGACATTTGACCAAGACAATCAAATGCACGATCAATATAATGACGTTCAAATACTAAAATAACAAATAAAACAAAAATAATAATAATAAATTTTCATTTTGTTTTAGATAATTTTTTTTTTAGTACAAACCACTTGATGATAAATTTAATGTTTCAAGAAAATTTCCATCAGATGCACATGATATAGTTCCATTAGGCATTTTAGCAGCTTCAGCTTTTGGTAAATGATTTTTATGATAATTTATAAGATCTTCTTTATAATTAATAATGACTTGTTTTATTTTACCTAAACGTGGTAACCAATCATCATAACGTTCATTTTGATAAATTACACTAAAATAATCAAAATTCAAAAAAAAAATTATTTTATATATACATGCGTTTCGAGCTTTTATGCAAACTCTAACTTATAAGATCATTTATCGGCACTAGACGATGACAGTATTTTCTCTTTTTCTATGCTGCTAGCGTCAAACAGAATCACTGTATAACACCAATATACATGTATATCAAGAAAAAACAAGACATTTTAGATTCGAAAGTGTTCGAGAATCTATGGAATCTCTAAATCCGTAGTCATTTCGAACAACATAATGCTAAACAGATGTCCGTAAAATCGAATAGAGTTCTAGAACTATTGCTGTTCAATGAGGCTAAGGCTACTACTAAAGTTCTAATATTACAATGAGAATATTAACAGATGACCTAAAAGTAATTCTACAAAATGTTTGTTCATTTTTCTGTCTCTTAAAGAAGACTGTAGAATTTTGAAAACATTCGATTAGTATCAGCAATACATGTTCTTTCTGAGTATAACTTCTAATTTAAGACTTCTGAATGAATCTCTTCGAAATCCTGTAAATTGGATTTGGATATGTTTCAATGTATTGAAACTTACTCCAAGTCGAAGAGAAAATTATTTGAAATACTACGAATGAAAGAGAATGTATATCTGTATAAAATGGTATATCCACAATTCATTGACTTCAATTCATTTGTCAACAGTGAGTATTTTAGTAATATGTAACGTGTCAATAACTATGAAAAACAAACTGACAAAATGAGCTTCAACATTTCTGAAATTTTTAATTCTTATTAAAATTTTGTATGGAACAATTTCACTTTTTATTTTACACATAAAAGACGATAATATAACGTATACGATAAGAAAGACTAATGGTTAATTTTTTCTCTGTTGAAATTTAATTGTGATATTCTTAATAAATTGATTTATAACTTTTAAATCCAAAGTTTTAAAGAAAATTTTCTAATACTATATTATTAAATATTCCTACTAAATTAAATTATTACCGATAGAAATCTTCATAAAATCTTCCTCGATGATCTACATTAATATGTTGTTGTAAAATTTGAGGAAAATCATCCAAAGTTTTTGCATCATAAAAAACTCGACTAAATAATGTCATAGTAACATCATGTTGACAGAGCATGAGCTAAAATAATATATATAATAAAAAAATTAAATTTTTATTCTTTTTTATTCTTGTTTTGTAAATACCTTCCATCGATTAAATAAATCATAAAAAAATCCATCAACAGCTTTTTCATAATATGTATCACCACGATGATCGAAATCCCACATTTCTTTTGACATTTGTAAAAATATAGTACAAGAAGCACTTAATGAACGAAACACAATCTTTAAAAAGGAAAGAAGATATCAATCAAAATTATAAGAAAAAAAAAAAATTATTTCATTTACTTTTGTATCTTTTGTTATATAACCAGAAGATACACGATAGGGTGAGTCCGGTACCCATAAACCATAGACAGTAGTTCTAATTAATATGTTTTTTTTAATATAAAAACTTTAGTTAAATAAAAAAAAATATATTTTTTTTTTACCGCATGCCAAATATATCAAGTGTTTTCTTTAAATAGACTGTCGTATTAACTAGTTTACGTGTAAAACGCCACATATCACCACGACTAAAATATTGTTCTTTAACTTGCATTTCAACTAAATAAAGAGCAAAATCCTAAAACCAAAAGAGAATTTTTTTTTTTTTGTATTTTTGAATAAAAATAAAAAAAAAAAGAAAAATTCAAAATACTAACTTCTTTTCTTGCAACTTTTTGTACCATATAATGATTTGTAAGAAATTTTATGCTTGTAAATGTTTTTTTAATTGATTCATCAATAAAAATTTCTATAAGAATATAAATTTTCAAACATTAAAATGATTAAATGAATATTTTCTTATACCTGGATATATAGTTTGAATTTGACGTTCTTCATCAACACGATCAACTTCCATAACAATTTTTTCTGTATCATCATCATTTAAATTAATTACAAATAGATCACCTTTAAGTAGATTTGTTTTTGGACTAACAGTTGTCGGTGTACTAGGATCTAAATAAATATTCGAAGAATAAAAAAAAAAACAAACAAACAAACATTAGAATTAATTAAATTAATTAATTAACTTTGTCCACGTGTAAAACCGACTCGACATTTGAATCTAGATTTAGAAAAATGAACAATTTTTACAAAAATTTGATTTTGTTTTTCTTTTTTAAGTATTTTAAATACATACGGATGTCCTTCAAATATAGATTTTTCTGTTATTTCATTCATACTTGATATATTATTTGAAGTCACTTTTGACGGCTGTAAAGAAATATTAAATTCATGATAAGAATTAAAAAAGATATCAGTTATATATATATATATATATCTTATAGTGAAGCTAAAAATCATGTGAATGCTAAAATAATTAAACCAATGAAATAACAGCAATTATAATGGTTCGGTTACTGATGACCTCTTGAGACAAAAAATAGATTGATATCTAAATTTTTGTTTCTCGTTTTATATGATTTAATAATGAATTATTTAACAAATGAATCTATTGATTATTTTTTCAAATTATTATGTATTGAAGATTCAAATGTTGAAAAAAAAACAGTATTTCTTCATCAGTATATTTATGAAACATTTGGAAATTTTCGTTCAACTGTCGATATTGATATTTTTGAAAAATATGTTACTGTTAAAGATAATCAACGTATTATTTGCACTTATGAAATACAACTGGACAGGTTTGAGTTTATCGTTGAACTAAAAAATTTAATCTTTTGTTCAATAGGAACGTTATCGTAGTTTGATAACATCATTATATCGTGATAGTATGGGATTTTTACTTTTATTTGATATAACAAATAAATCGTAATTTTTATCGGTTCGTAATTGGCTTATCTGTATTGATAATTATACTTTAATAGATAATAATTTTCAACTACCAATACTACTTATTGGTAATAAAATGGATTTAGTTATACATTGAAAAATCGATTCAATTCGTGCACAACAATTATCTAATGAACTAGGTATAACTTATATTGTAATAAATAGTATAACTGGTATTAATATTCAAGAAACATTAAAAATAATTATTGAGAAAATATTTCATTTTATGAATCAATCTATAGAAAAATATTATCGAAAATAATCTCTACAAATATCATCAATTCAATTACCAACATATGCAAATTATCATTAAAGACAAACATCAATAAAATTAATGAAAAAAATTA